TAATGATGGTGCGAAACAACAATGGTGGTGCGAATGTGAAAAGAAAAAAAAGAACTCAAGGGTCTCAGTTCCATAATCAACATCTCTTTTGAAATAAGAGGATCCCCAAAGCTACTAGACAGTCTAGGAAAACATGGATATAGATATTGATTGGTGATGAAGTACAGAAAAGTAAAGCTAGAAAAAGGCCTGATGTGAAAGACACAAATAAAGAAATGACTAAAGCTCACCCTCAAAGTACAAAGGTGAATGTAGCAGTTCATCTGTGAGTAACTGCTACATTCAAGTGATTTGTGAGGTTGATGTAGTTGTTCTTATTTAGGTCCTCACATCTTACTTTTCTAGTATTTGTGTTTGTTCACACTCATGATCATACTAGATGATGGATAGTGATGCATTACCTAACCTTATAGCTAAAAGATCCTGTATCGGCTCCAGCTCCGCTCTGCAATGATTTAAACATAACTTTATGATGTTGGCGTAAAGAGTTCCAGGCGTTAGTGCATTAATGGCCACAAACATTTGCCTATTTATTGTTTTTACATCCTGGCGTAAGACAGCGAGGTGACAGTGCTCCTCTTTAGCAGGTTCACTGCATTTCAAAAAGAAAAAGAAGTGTCAATCAGAAGTCAGAGTCACAGTGTTGTCTAGAGGAAGCAGAGCACACAGCAGTGTTTTTGTGGGGAAATACTCGGGCTGTGCTGCTGTTGTGTCTGCACATACTAATTCCAGGGGTGTAGACAGATTGTGAGTGTTTTAAGAAGATCACAGATGATAGGCTGCAGAGGCACTGCCCTGTGTGTGCATGTATGCAAGTGTGTGTGTACAGGCACATAAGGTGCCTGTTTTTATTGAAGGGGTAATCATGAGGTGGTAATGACAGTCCTGTGCACATCCGATGTCTTAAGGTTTATGTGCGTGTCTGTGTGAATATTGATTTGCCCAGTATCACAAAGACACATCCCATTTCCCTCACAGTGGATAAATAAAGGCCAAGAAATATGGTACATATAGTACGGGTACGTACGTACGTACACACACACACACACACACACACACTCCCAATGGGCTGTAAAGATACTCTCAGTGCCAATTATATCTGAGAGAATGTCACACACACAAGGAATGTGGATCAATGGGAAGGGCAGCCAGCCAAGAGCCAGTCAATTCTTCCTCTCTCCTCTCTTTCTGTAATGGTGGCACCCCCACTGAAACAATACTGATATTTAACATGTTGGAAAATGTTTAAAATACCTCAGCAGGATTGTTATAGATTTCCCTGTGATTTCCTCTTTTCTGAAAGAAATCTACCTCTGACGATGACGCACATTAGAGAAGCCTAAGAGGAGGTCAGAGTAAAGACGAGAGCTTCAGCAGCATCTTTGGCTCGTGGTGATGAGAAGTCAACCTTGGTCCTATCATGAATCAGAGCTGTGTGGAGACACCCCCAGTACAACAAAGTGAAAGAGAGGAGAGGAGAAGAGGAAGCACAAACAAGGCCTGAAGAAGAGGAAGTTGTATAATTCCAGATGGAGGAGAACAACACTGACTGCATGTTTTCATTTTGCACACAATTTCCCTGCCAAGGGGGGGGACAGGTTTGAAGAGCTCAATGTAAAAGCACACACTGCTGAAGGAGAAAGTCCAACATAAATTACTTTTGTACAACAGTCAACAGTCTCTAAGCTAAATATCCAATTGTAGTCGAATCTGCATTCACCCAGGAGCTCACTGAAATAAAACCTCAGTGGGGGGTTTCACAGATACAAGAAAAATGTAACTGACCTAAAAAAGTACCATTGACTTGTCTAATATGAGGAACTGTTCATTGAAACACAAACCAGAACAAAATCAACCCAAGGACGACCGAATCTGGATTCAAACAGGGGATAAAGTAACAAGGCAGGGGACTTGGTGAATTTTAGTGATATTCAGATTTCTTTGGCTGCAGCTGCCAGCTCATCGTTTTCACCTCAGCTAATTTAAAGAAATGCCACTGAGACACAGTCAGCATCGAGCCGGGCAGGTAACTTGAATAGCCTGTCAATTTATTGTGGCATTGAATTGTATCCATAGCAACAAGTGTCACCAGGGTGCCACAGTAAAGTAGGCAGCTACATGACTGATAAGGTTACAGTAAAACAAATGTGGAAATAAGTTATGAGAAGGAATCTAACCATTTTATGCTGTTTAAACTTTTGGGTTGCATTAAGTCAGTATTTTTTTACATTCATGCTGGATGAATAAAATACAGTATTCAGTGTCTCTCTGTCCTGCTGGGCCCATGAAAGCTTGTTGTCTGATGACCCCAGGGAGTCCATGGCACACTGCCTGGGGGTCCGTAAAAAGTTGACAGATTAATCCACTAAAATGAATCTGGATGCTCTGTTTTGAGATGGTGAAAATATGTTTAATACCAGACACTTCACTCATATTGTTCTCTCACATATAGAAATGTAAAAATAAATAAGCTACATGCAAATTATTCCAAGGGACAGAAGTGAGGGGGCCCCTAGGTTATTTTCTTTCTTGTAGGGGGTTTGGGGCTGAGAAAAAAATGAAAACTACTACATACACAAGAACCTGAACCAAAACCCAGTTGGGATCATATCTTCTTTCAAGGGACACGTTTAACCAAAGCCCACTACACTTTAATGTGCTTAATGGCCATCCTTACTTTTAAAGAAGGCGTGCCACTAGTCAAACTTGTGCACAGTTGACAGCTCAAGAAGAGGCTTCTTTACAGCTTGTCATTATTATGCAGACATTTACATGGCGTCAAGTGAGTTTCTGTTGAGCATAAAACTATTTTGTGTGAAAGGCTTTCTTGCTATCAGAAGTACAACATGTCTCCAACTGAGACACAGATTCAGAGTTACAAGGCGAAGGTTGTGAATAGCGTTAGGAAAAATGAACGGGAAACTCCAGCTTGCAGGGATTTCTTGATGTCAAAACTAAGCAGCCTGACAGAGATCTTTTCTGTTTCGAGACTTAGTCCAACGTTTATTCAGGAGCATTGTCTGCAGCTCTACAGTAGAAACAGGACCCCACTATACTGCACTGGATAAACAAAGTGCAAGAGGCGGGCTGGGTTGTGCAAAGGGACAGAGGAGGCAAAAAGAAAAAAGGAGGCTGAAGACAGAGCAGACGGAGATGAGAATTGAAAGAGCCTTTTTTCTTTGAGAGTTTCCACACAATACTCGGTGGGTTTCTATGACGACCTACAGTCGCCTGCTGGGCCCATACAGGCAGAAGTAAGAAGTCTGTTTGGCAGCACTGGAAAAACTATTCAAATCCTTCTTCTAGATTTAAGCAACTACAAATAAATTAGCCTGCACTCAAACTTCTACTTATACAGCTTGATGTAAATAAGTAACAGTTGTAAAATGTACTTCAAGTTATTGAAAATACATTTATTAATACTGTAAGTACAAGTATTGTAAAGCGGCCTTAAATTAGACAGGCCTCATATTGTTGCATTGCCATGATGTAAATGTGTCTTTGAGGTGTAAATTCTGAATCTACTGTGGCCAACTGACAGGAAAAGATTTTTTTTAAAACATGGTGTTAAGAAGAGCAATTTTTCCCTCTGACATGGAGTAAAAAATAGCTATAAAGTGTGAGGAATTGGAAGTACTCCAGTTATTGACAGTAGCCTTCCTCAGAGTAAAAGCTGCTGAGTAAGGATACTGAGACACACATGCTGGTGGTTGGTTTACACCTGTCATGCTTATGAGTGATGCACTGTGATAAAAAACCCAAGAGAAACAGGGATTTTTCACACATTTTATACATGCACACGTGAATATTCACATCCACACGTATGCCATATGAATGCAACTGATGCAGGTTGTGTGCATGACAGCCACAGAGGGAGAGAGGAGAGAGTGAGGGTCTGCAGAGCACCACAGCCTCATGATTAATGCGGCTTTTAGCTGCAGAGAAGCCTGAGCCCCCCAAAGCAAACTGACCGGGACGCCCATTCAACTCTCCCTCCCTCTATCTCTCTCTCACACACACACACTTTCTCCATCAAACCCAAACCCAGTGACTGAGAACCTGCTACAGCCTACACACACCATTGACTACACTCCTACACTAACACTTCATCAGCAGCCTCACAACCTCCACTGTAGCGGGATGCACTTCACTTCTCTCCCATTGAGAGCCAAACCTCTGAAGTGGACTAAACCCCACACACCAGGGACATTATTTTAAACCAATGCGGTTCCTTGCGTAAAGACGCATGAACTACAGTTTTCAAAGGTGTCAGGTCGCACAGTTGTAAAAAATACTTAAATAGAATATGTCATTGGGATAAGTGTGTGGAAAGATCCAGTTTACTCAGGAGAGATAAGGAACGGATGGCTGGAAGTAGGGTTGGTATAAATTCTCCATCGAGTACTACAGACTGATTTATCTTTTCGTTGGGGCAGGCAACAAACACACACGCACATGCAAACGCACACATACACTATCAAGTGGCAAGGAAAGTGCATTACACTGCTTGTGAAAACGCAAAATACCAAAGACTTGTCGTGGTTTTTATGACATTACGTGAATCCATTTGGATCTCCGTCAGAAGGACGCCCTGAGACGCACACGCACTGAGGAGACAGATGCAGAATGCACCAAACCACTGTCTTTCCTCCCGCCTAACAGCTCTCCCTCTCTCTCTCTCACACACACACACTCACACACACACACAGAGCCCCTGACCACTACTTCATTGAGGGGGGTCACTCCCCCCCACAACCGCCCAGCACACGCGCGCCAGGGCGCACACAGTAAGAATCCCGATGCACCAGCAGCAGCACCAGCTCTGGATAAATCATTGCAGTGACCAGACAGTGAATCCACAGGCTCCTCTCAGCTCAGACCGGCCTGCTCCAACTATCGCACACCAATCTCAAAGTGCACACTGCGCGCGCCCCGTGCACAGGACCCAATCTGCCACTTGCGCCGCATCCGTCCCAGGCTGTTTGCACCGGCGCACTTACCTTTGCACTACAGCAAAAACGAGCAGTTAGTTCCCATTTTGTGACAAGGCTTTAGAATCCACTCATTGTCGCGCATCTCCTGCTGGTTCGCTCAGACATCCACAGTGTGTTTCAGCAGGGACACTAATCCAGTTTTCCATCCCTGGGAGAGCGCTTCCGAGCTTCGTTACATCTTCTTCCACAATCCCCCCAAAACTATGCCAGGCTTCTTTCAGCGCGTTTTTCTCTCTCTCCCCTCCTCTCTCCTCCTCTGCCCCCTCTCCTTTCCTCACCCTCTCTCTCTCCCTCTCTGAGGTTGCCTGGTTACCTCTTTTCTGTAGGCTGGTTCAGACCATAGACTGTATATAAAGATGGACGTAGTGTCCGTGACGTCACCCGTTGGTTTCTG